GTTTTGATATATGTATGTGATATGAAATGATTAGATCAAGTTAAAATCCATCATCTCACTTATCTTTTTAATATTTAAAATTAAATATATTAAATATTTACTGTTAGAATTTTGAAATATACATTATTATTACCTATAGTCACCTGCTGTGCAAAAGTCCTCACAAACTCATTCCTCTTGTCTAATTGAAATTGAGTGCAAATGACCATAGCCATTTGGGAAAATAGTATGGAGGGTCCTCAAAAAATTAAAAATGGAACTACCATGTGCTCCAATCATCCCACTACTGGGTATATCTCCAAAGGAAATAAAAATGCATGTAAATATTCAGTTCACTGCAGCACAATTCCCAACAGCCAAGGCATGGGAACAACCTAAGTGTGCATCGATAGATGGGTGGATAAGGAAAATGTGGTATAGGTTGAAAGATACAGAGACACAGAGATAAACACAGGGTAGATATATATAAATAAACATACACACACAAAGGAATACTACTTGGTCTTTAAAAAGAAGGAATTCGTGTCATTTTAAGACAACAGAGATGAATTTGGAGGACATATAAGCTAGGCACAGGAAAGACGGGATCTCTTCTACATGTGAAATCTGGAAAGGTCAAACTCTTAGAAGTTGAGAGTAGAATTTTCCCAGAGATGGGGGCTGGGGAGGGGATAGGGAAATGTTGGTCAAAAAAAATGCACAAAGTTCCATGCTACATTCTTGATGAGTTTTGTAATTTTAAGGAACAGAAGCGTCAATTCCAACAACCCCAGACCTTCATCATCTATGGACATTTATTGAATGTTGCATCGTGTTCTGCTGGGAACTAAGCAAATCTGACATGTGAGGCTCATGCTGTCATCAGCCACCTGTCTTTAGGGAGGAAAGACCCCAAAGCAGCATTCTAAGAACAGCGTGACTGCCTCGGAGGAGTGCCGGAAGCTGTGGACTAGGCATCCAACCTGGTCCAGGGCAGGTTGAGGGACAGCTCCCTCCAGAAGCCTCATTTGACCTGTTATCCAAGAGATATATTGTGTCACCCTCCTGATCAGATTTCCTCAGCGGCATCTCATTGCCTGCAAATTAGGTGACAAATTCATTTCACTTTGCCTGGGACTCCTCTGGCTTTTTAGCACTGAAAGCCCCACATGCCAGAAACCCCTCAGTCCTGGGAAAACCAGGATAGTTGGTCACCCTACAGCCCAGCCAAACCCAGACTCCCTGGAGTGGCCCCAGGCCCCCTCGTGATCCCACTCCTTCCTGGACTCACCCTCCTCATCCGGACCCACTTCTCTCCATGTAGATTCATCTCTCACCATCAACCCACCTCTCTTCACCACTGTCCCTCACACTTCGTCCTAGGGCCTCACGGTGGCAGGCGTGGAGCCTTGAAGCTTCCAAGATCTCTCCTCCACCTCTGCTCTCGCCCATGCTGTGATCCCCCTGCATGAGCTGCCCCCCATATGCCCACCTGGAACACACGTACTCATTCCTCTGATCTCAACTGAAATGCATCTCCCCTGGAAAGCCAGCACATGGCCCTGTGGCCCCAAGGCATCTCCCTCCTCGGAGTCTCTATACCAAGCTGTCTTTCTCTGGCTAGCCAAATGTCCAATAATTCTGACTAATTAATTCATTAAACTAGTAGATTAATTAACTGTTTTGTAGCCCATGGTCACACATAGGTTCTTTCACACTCTGACGTTGTGTAAACATGTATCTCAGGGCTTCCTCAACTCTAATTGGTGGGCTAAAGTGGAAGTGATGAGAAGCCATTTCTGCCATCCTCCATTGGAGGGAGGAAATAACCAGACACCCCAGCACACTCATACCCCCAGCTTTTCCTTCCTTAGCACTTACTGTATGCCTGGCTCTGAGTGAAAAGCTCAGCTATGTCCCTCACCCAGAGACCAGACTCTCTGGACCCACCTGCCTCCCTACAATGCCTGAGAAGATGGATACCCCTTTCAGTCTGGGACTTCCCGAATCCATGTTCAAAGACGCCATATTGGAAACTTGAAATGAGCCATTGTGGGAGCACTAACACCACAGAAATTAGCAAACACTATAAATAAACATATTTTTTGCTTTTTATTGTTTGAGGGTTTTTTGTTTTTCATTGTTGCATTCTGTTTTGTTTTGTTTCTTTTGAGACAATCCGGGTGCTGGACATTTTCTAGCACCATTGCATACACCTCCCATTTCAAATTTCTTACTCCAAAATCTGATCTTCTCAGATGACTAGATCCTATAAACATATTTTGAAAAATGAAGTTTCAAAGAGCAACATGGTGGCAGAAACCCAGGTTGGCTAAAATGTTTGACCCTGGGTAAGGGTGGAATTGAGTACCATGTATTTCAGAGTTTCTCTGTTTTCACTTCTCTTCCAATGAAAAATGTGTACTTTTCGCACCGTTGCAGAATTAAGTGATGTCATGTCTCCCAAACGCTGAAGATGATTCCACACCTTCCCAGGCCTGTTGCTCTATCCGCTTGTGCTATAGTCAGACCCTACCTGGGTGATTAGAAGGAGATTCAGAGCATGCGTTGTGACAAGAAGCTCTGTGTTTCCCTTACACAGCCCAACAGTGCCCCGTGTCTCCCCCTGCACAGAAAACTTATGGAAGGGGTACAGTCTGTAATTAATACTTGTTAGGGACAGTGAGTGAGATCTTTGCAAGATCTATGAGTGCTGTTGATGACAGGGAAAATGGAAAAAGAGAAGGAAGGGAAGGAGAGGATAACATGAGATTGTAATCTCCACAAAGATGGAAGTGTGTCCATTTTATTTGCCGATGTTGGCTCAACATCTGACACAACGTTTGATAAATATTCGTTGAATAAATTCAGTAAAGGAGAATTTAAATTCAGTGGCTTATATTTGTCATGGAGAAAAACTGGAAACACCTGAAATGTCCATTAGCAGAGAAATGACTAAACAAATTACTATACATTCAGTCTATGAGATAATGTGAATTTTATAAACCATGAAGTAGCTCATGGTAGATAGATATGATATGTCATATTGCAGATAGAGAGATAGATATACAGACAGATGGAATGATAGATGACAGATGGATCTCTATCAAACAATGGATAGATGGATAATGAATGGATAGATTAATAAGTGATAGATTAGATAGACAGGTAGGTAGGTAAGTAAGTAGGTAGGTAGGTAGATAGATAGATATGGTATATCTGTTGTATAAAATTTCACAGAGGGACAATAGGGGTAAATGTCTATGATGGTTTAGGGGAAAATAATGTACAAAGATTAAGAAACACTGCTCTAAAGCAATAGGATTGAAAGGCTACTTGCACGTGCTGAAATGATTGAATTTCACAAGCATAACATTAAGTGGATGAACCAAACACTAAAAAGAATATACTATCTGATTCCATTTATATGATATACCAAAAGCAGGAAGAAATGGTCCATAGCGTCCTTGATTAGGATGATTTTTGGAGGTGGCAGCAATAAGGTAGTAGCCAAAAGGAAACCGAAGAAGAAATTCAGGGACACAGGGCTGGTCACTTTGTTTCCCTTGGGCAGGTGCTGGCTGCATGGATGTATTGAGCTGCGAAACTTCATCAGCATTCGTGTACTTTTACACATGTAGGTTTTTCTCCAATGAAAAGTTTTTGAAAGAACACCAACTTATGGAAGGGGTATTGATTCATAAGTGCTGCCATGGGAAGATGACGCAGGCATAAAATTAGGTGAGTAAAACGGTATCACAACAATATTGTAGATGAGCCCACATATAAACTAACAGTTGAATATGTGTAAGTCAATGCAGACATGGGAACTGAAGGTGGACTCCTTACATTGTTCCTGGGTAACCTCAAAGCAAATGAAAGAATTGGAGGGACAAAAGTGGTCCAGTTGTGCTCTCTTGTTTTGACTATTCCACCCCTAGGGATGGAATAAAAACATGAGTTCACATAAAAAGTTGTATATGTATAACACCATCATTCAAATGCTCCAAAGAGAGAAACAACCCACATGCCAAGAACAAATGCATGGGTAAACAAAATGAAGTATACCCATGTGACCAAATAGTATTCAGCCATAAAAAAGGAAATGAAGTACTGATATCTGCTACACTGCAGAACCCTGCAGATATTGTGCTATGAAAAAAAGCCAAATACATAGAATAATGATTACAGATTACATACACTGTTATGTCATTCCTAGGAAACATCCAGAACAGGGACATCCATAGAGGCAGAAAGTAGATTAGCAGTTGCCTGGGACTGGGATGTATGAAGGAAGTGGAGCCCACAGCTAAAAGAGTACAGGGTTTTTGTTTTTGTTTTTGTTTTGAGGTGATGAGAATGTCCTAAAACAAACTGTGGTGAGGACACCCTGCACCACTCTGTAAATCTACTAAAGCCATTGGAATGGACACTTTCAGTAGGTGATCTGTAAAGTGTGTGAACTATATCTCATTAAAGCTGTTGACATAAAATAAAATGGTGAGAAAGAACAGGGGAGGGAGGCCACGAAGCAGAGGAGACAGGGGCTGAGGTATCAGCTAAGGCAGCTGGACTGGACCCTCCTGGATATGAACGCCAACCGTGCCAGTCAACTGGTTAGGCGATGTGGAACAGTCATTGGATTTCACCACCATGAGCTTCAGGTTCCCTACCTGCAAAATGGAGCAGCAATGCCAATCAACACTGCTCCTGAGGAGTGATGAGATAATAAACAAGTACAGTCAGTGCTGTCTGCCCAGTTCACGGTGGAATGGATGGGTTGTCTTGGTGGAAATGCTGGATGGTAACAAGATGAGCTAAACCTGTGGTCGGGTGGAGGGTCTTGTGGCTGGGCTGGCCCAAAAACCACTGGCTAATTTAGATGCTCCATCTCAGCCACCTTAGCCAGGGGGTGTCAGCTAAGCCCTGCAATCATTCATCCACGGGCGTCTGACTCTATTTCCACACCAAGACTGTGCCAAGGGCGTGTCCCCTAGTCATGAGGTTTCCCGACTGACAGAAAATTCGCTGGCAATAAAGGGCCAGATGATTGTGCTGCACGAATCACAGGCCTCTCGGGAGAAACCCAGGAAGGTCCCACACCGGTCAGCCCCCTCTCCAAGACTGGCAGTGGGCCTGACTCCTTCTGGGTGCCAGCACTAGGAGAGTGACAAGACTGAGCCTGGCTTAAGGAGCAACTACTTCTGCAGCTGGTAAGTGACTGGCAGCTACCAGCTCCTCCGTCTCTCACACACGGTCCCCCTCTCGGTGCCAGCGGAACTGGAGAGACTGCCACCCATCCATCTAGCCAGGCTTGCTTTCCTTTGTTCTTTTGTTTATTAGCTGTTCTCCCTGACACCACCTCTGTACCACACAGCTGGTGGAGACAGAAGTAAAGATGTCAGGCTTTCAATCTGGAAACTGACCGACTGATTCATCCAAGAGGTTAAGAATTGAAAATACTGCTCTTTTATGTTCATGTCACTCTTTGTCCTATTAAAGACAAATTAATATTATTTAATATTGCGTATAAAATGTGTGATCATACACTTGTAAAATTATTTTTCTACCTGTAAATGCCTCTGCAATCTATATATGCATGACCATAAAGAGATGATTAAAGTGATATTGAACAGATGTTTTAAAAAAGTAAAAATAGGCAGAACTGTGGGAATCTAGAAAGGGGAGCGACCTTGTACAAAAAGTTAATAGAGGTCATGAAACCTGCTTTATTTGGCCCACTGCTGCCAAACACCTAGCACTCTTCCCAAGTCCTTCCTTTTCAAATGGGAAAAGTGAGTCTCAGAGAGGAGAGCGAGATGGTTAAGGTCTCGCAGCTAGGAGAGACCAAGCTCCTGGGTCTGGTTTATCTGGTTCTAGAGCTGTACTCCTTCTGCCTCCTCCTTCACAATATTCACCTCCTTTTCCTCACAGCACCTGCTGTGTGTGTGGTGTGTGTGTGTGTGTGTGTGTAGAGAAAAAGAGAGATTTAATGTTCATTTCTGTCATAGATTAAAGCTACAGAAGGGCAAGAAGAATGTCTGTCATGTATAGTGTGTTCCCAGTGCTTAACATACAACAGATACCCAAGAAATATGTGCTGGATAGATGAATGAGTGCATTGCTGGATAAGTGGCTGGCTGGCTGGACAGATGGGTGGATGGGTGGGTGGATAAATAATGGATGGTGGGTGGATGGATGGATGGTTAGTGGGTAATGGGTGGCAGGTAGGTGAATTGATGACTGGAAGGGTGAGCAGATGGGTGGGTGGATGGAAGAGTAAATGGAAAGATGCATGGGTAGACAAGTTGGATGAAGGCATGGATAAATAAATAAAAGGATGGGTGCATGAATGGATAAGGAAGGCATGTCAGACATGATGCCATCCAAATCACGGGGAAAGGGTCGTGACAGGTAAAGAAGTTGCCCAGGCTGAGGAAGAAGTATAAACAAAGTCAAGGCATCGGGGCACCCAAGAGTATGACACAAGTCTTTCCTTTCAGCCAGTGGGAAAAACAGAGAGGAAAATGGAGACATTGACAGATGTTCAATCTCAAAATAGAGAGAAGGAGATATACTGACCTCTTCAGATTAGAGACCCACCAAGACAGTTTCAAAATAGTATTCCTCACCTTGATTAAATTCCTATTTTAAACCCAACCGTGAAGCACATAGTGATTGATGCCTCCCCAGTCAGACATCTCCCGAGTAGAAAAGAGGAGAATATGCTTTTCCATCCAGGACCTGCCAAGGAGAAGTCTGGCCCATCACAGGATAAGTATCCTGAAAGACAGACAGGGAAGGTCCAGAGGGATGACATTTGGGGTGGGCTTACAGGTTTTCCAAGGACTCCATGGATAAAAGACTCCACCAGACTGTCCCTCTATAGAGGAAATACGCCATGGTCTGTCATCTCTTGTCTAGGTCTGACCAGGTACTGAGTCTTCAGCACTGGGGTCCTATTCATTCTCAAAATCCTGATCGACAAACCAATCTGCCCCCTGATTCCTACTGTCTTCCTTTGGAGACCTTTAACCTACCTTCTCTTGACCCCAGGATCAGCAAGGGTGACGAGAGTTGAACACAGATGGAAGAGGAAATGATCCATCCTCGGCCTTTGCAGGAGGTGAGATGGATTCAACAGGGCGACAGGGAGGGAAGAGAGGAACTCACTGTTTCCTGAAGAGCACAATAATGAAAAAATAATAATGACTTGGGCTCAGAGCTAGAAGGTTCTTTGTGATCTTCCAGATGACAACAAAAGGACTCTGGGATGGAACCCAAATTGGAGGGAGAGGGAAGAAACGTAGGTATTTCTGTCTCCAAAGATCACATTCTTATCACTATGGTCCTCAGTGTCCTGCTTCTCCTCTTAAAAGACCCCAATAGTCTTCCTCACACAGAATCAAGTAGAATCTCAGAATTAGCTTCAGAAATTCTCAGACCTCTACACTGAGGAAGTCATGAAGGAATGCTCACCACACTCTTGCGAAGGATGGGGACAGAGATAAAGCCACTAATGTGACAACTGGATGGGACCTTAAAAATTCTACACACACACTTATCTGCATCGGGAAACCAAGGTTCAGAGAAAAGCAGTGACTTATCCAAGGAGTCTTGTTAAGGCAGAGCCAGAACCCAGTTGGACTGACAGATTTGGCAGATAAAAATAAGAGATGTCTGGCTGAATTTGAACTTCATGTCAACAACCAAAAATCACTGGAGTATAATTATATCTCAAGCAATATTTGAGATATACTAAAATCTTAATTTTTTTATTTGACTTGTCACTAGGCACCGTCTATTTTTCCTGGCAACCCTAACTCTTTTGAATACATCTCCTGCTTCTCCTTGACCTCTTTGCCCTTGATTTTTGTCATCTCTTGGACCAGGAGGCATATGATATGTCAGGCGCCCGTCTGGCCCTGACACTGTGTGTCATGAAAGCCCGGGAAGGTTCAGAAGCAGACATAAGTGCCCTGGAACACATGTTCAAGCAGCTGAGATTTGAGAATACCACGAAGAGAGATCCCACTGCCCAGGTACTGGGCTGCCAACTCCAGGCCAAGAGAGAAGCGGGGTGGACCAGATGGGTCAGCTCTGGGGCCCTATCTGAACCCATCCATTTCTGTCCCTCCAGCAATTCCAGGAAGAATTGAAAAATTTCCAGGATGTCATAGATAACTGGAAAGAACCCGTCAGCTGCGCCTTTGTGGTGCTCATGGCGCATGGAGAAGAAGGCCTCCTCAAGGGAGAAGATGGGGAGATGGTCAAGCTGGACGACCTCTTTGAGACCTTGAACAACAAGAACTGCCGGGCCTTAAGAGGCAAGCCTAAGATTTACATTGTGCAGGCCTGTCGAGGAGGTAAGGACAGGTCGAGAACCCAGTGTCCATGTTCGTATTGCGGCCCCATACCAGGTCCAGAGCCCTAGCTAAGCCTGGCATGTGCTGAACTGTCCTGACTTACCCCTTTGCATCTGCCTCTCTGACCTTGACTCCTTCTCTTGGTGTTTTCAGAACACAGAGACCTCGGTGAAACAATAGGTGGAGATGAGATGGTGATGGTCACCAAGGATGAGCCTCAAACCATCCCAACTTACACAGACACCGTCCATGTCTACTCCACAGTGGAGGGTATGCACTCCCAGCTGCCCAGAGTGGCCTCAGCTCCTCCTCCTGGCCCTGATCCCTGAGCCCCTCCCCCAGGGCCCACCCTATTCCAGGGTCCCTGCACTCCCACCCCCAGAGCTTCCCCAAGCCCTCCTCTCTTAAATTCCCCAGGGCACCTCGCCTACAGACATGACGTGGATGGCTCTACCTTCATCCAAACCCTAACAGATGTGTTCTGCAACAGGAAAGGACCCATCCTGCAACTTCTGACAGAGGTAAGTTGGAACAAGATTATCTGGAACCCCCACTCAGGCTGAGCAGAGTGTAAATGGAGGTCGCTGAGCTTCCCCCTGATCTTTCTCCCTTTTCCCCATCTCCAAACCCAACACAGAAGCTAGGATGTCTGTCTTCCAGCAACAAATTTCCCCAGTGCAGGAACTCCCAAAGCCCACAGTATGTGAATACAGATAAACATTTGTAAATAAACCATTCTTATTTAACCAATGTTCGGACAAAGTTTTTCCTTCTAACAGTGATGTGTTTTGTTGCAGATCAGAATGTAGATATAGATATAGAGACATAGCTATACCCATCCATGTAATGATTCCACAGAAACTATGGCATAGGAGGAGACAATGGAGGTCTGCCATCTTGGGACATGGATACCCATCTGCCCTGTTCCCTAACCTCCCCGTAAGCCCATTGGCATCAGTTCCCCTAGGGACCCAGCCCCCCAAGCTGACTACACCTGTTGTTGCAGGTGACCAGGCGCATGGCAAAAGCAGAACTGGTCCAGGAAGGAACAGCGAGGAAAGTGAATCCTGAAATCGAAAGCACCCTCCGGAAACAACTCTATCTACAATAGAAGTAGAAAAAGCAGGGAGAAGCTCTCCTTCAGGTGCTCTCTCTGCCCCGCAGATATTCAGAGGCAGCTCTTACCATTCCTTAAAATCTTCTCTTCCCAAGGCTAACTGGAACCCAATCCCTCTTTCATTATGCCCCCTCATCCATGTTCTTCTTAGAGCAAGCCAACCACAATTGAGCACGAGGCATGATGATAACATTAGCATCACCTCTCTCAGGCTGGATTCTCTACTTCTATTAATGCAACCTCTGAGAGCATTCATTTATCCTACTTTCTGTTCTTATGTTCAGCTGAGATCTTCTTCTTCCTATGAATCATATCCTTGGAAATTTAACTAGATGAAGCTCATATTTTCCACTGGCAAACATTGCTTGCTCACCACCTCCCACCCCAGTGACAATTTAGCTGGCTCCTTCATCTCACCTGGAACTATAATCTCCTCCTCAGTCCACATCCATTCCATCTCCCAGTGATTTACTCATAAACCCTGGGGTTTCTGTAAGCAAAAATTGCTCTTCCTCCTATACCCTGCTTCTGTGGCTATCAAGTTGGTGTCAAGTTGGCCCCTTTCTCCTAATGTCTCTCCCTATAAGGCACTGAACTCCTTGCAAGGAAATCCACCCATCCATCCTCACAACTCAACTTTCAATCACAGCTGATCCCCTAGTGTCATCCTGTTATTTTGCAGAACATATAATACAGGAGGAGAGAAGTTAAATAATTAGTCAAAAGCCACACCGCAAGACATAAACAGAGTCAAGGCCTGACTTCCAGCCCAGCCTCCTTTCCTTATCTGCCAAGTTTTGATCCATCAAAAATCTTTTCTAATTAGAACTGACAAAAAAAATTCCTTTTCCTACCTTGGTGGTAGTTTTCTGAGAGACTTCTAGAAATTTTCAACAAGCACCTACCAGGTCACCTCTGTGGAATTTCAGCACTGGGCTGTGCTGTCTTCCAAGTCTTTGGCCCTTGCTGTGGACACGTCCGCCATCTTGAAAACTTCTGACTAAAGATGAGTCTTTTCTTCCTGGTCCCTCCTCCAAACATTCCTTGGCCTCCGCACCCTTGGACCCCAGGTTGGGGGTTCGGTGTTTATCAATGATTCCTCTCTTCTTGCCCCTTCATATCCTGCCAGCCACCATGCCCAGCCCTGCCTGACTTTGGAACAGCCTACACATGTGCCTCAGCTGCTCTTCCCTGCAATCTTCCAAACTCCACCTCCACCCTCTCCTACCTTCATTTTTACCAACCATGGTCCTTCCTTGCCCCTCTGAGCCCATCCTTCCATCTCTCCTCCATACAACCCACAAGAATGATCTCTCTGGAAAGCTCTAGAAGACATGAGACCTATTATTTAGGGACCAAGAGCAAACCCCACATCCTGACTCTCACAGCTTTGCAATCCCACCTGCCACCAGCACTCCCTCTAAGCTTCTGCTATCCCCATTCCCCCAAACTAAGGGGTCCTCTCTCTCCCCTGGCCCTCTTTCCACTACCTCCCACCCCTATTTATTCCAGAAAGCCATTCCCTATAGTCTTTCTAGTTGCTGCTCCCCTGTTACTCAGAACAAAACACTGGAAATTACAATTTCTAGAGGGCAGGAAAGAATCTTTGATTGGAATAATTAGTGTTCAATAAACAGCTGTCAAATCTTGCCAAAAACAATGTGTTGGAATCTTTGCTTTCTGTGTAAACTGTGAGGCTGAGGTAATAGTAGTAATGGATTGATTTCTTTCTCTCATTGTCCAGCTGCCTCCTGGGTTGTGTCTATCATGGGCAGAATTGGGAGACTCACACCATCACTCACACTGTGTCTCTTACACAAGCAGATATGTTAGGAATTTGTAAAATTACAGACCATGCTTCTGAACTAAATGACTATATTTTACATGACTGTTCCATCTCCAAAATATTCCCAAGGAGGTATCCAGACACAGAACTGTGCCTTGTTGAAACTATAAGGAACCTTGGAAAACAGCTAGTTGAAGGAACACAAATATTTAGCAAATGTATATCACTACTTTCATCCTGGTGCCCATGAGAGTCATGACTAATCAATTACATCTCCTTTTCCCACTGAACTAAGATTTAGCCTCAAAGTTTTTCTCCTCTAAGTACCCAGGCAGCTGACACCCATCTATTCACATAGGCGTTTCATTCCTGATGATGAGATATTTTTAAAGGTTTTTTTTTTTTTTTTGGCATTCTGGTAATCAAACCCAGGGCCTTGAAGCATTTTATCACTGAGCTACATTCCCCAGCCCAGCATGTCATTCATGATCTGGTTGAGTCCCTTACTAAAGAGTGATTCTACAGGGTCATCTTCAGTGGTAGACACAGTTTTCCTCATCTGCATCTCAGCCACAACCATGGCAGTGGTTGGGGCTTTATGCATGGAACTGGCAGAGCAAGTGGCCAAAGCAGAGGTAGGCAGGTGCAGACCCCAGTATATCAAGGACAATGCACATGCCAAGTCCTATGCACCCACTCATGTACAAAGCTGCAGGCTAAACATCCAATAATCTGGAGCCTCTGAATACCAGGCTCAGAACACTATGGCCCACTTGAAAACTTCAGTCTGCAGCATTTTTTCCACAAATAAAGCTCTGTTGCCACACAACCATGCTCATCCATCTGCATGCTGTCTGAGGCTGCTTCTGTCCAACAAGGGAGAGTGAAGTAGTTACAACAGGCAGCCTATGGCCTGCAAAGCTGAAAATATTTTCTATAGGGCCCTAATAAAAAAAGGTTTGACAACTATCCTTCCAGTAAATACGAAGTGTCCATGAAAACCACAATTAAATAGAACCTCACCCCCATTAGGATGGCTATTACCAAAAACACAGGAGTGCTCTGGGGGTCCCAGCTACCACATTCTCTGCTCTCCACCTCTGCCACCACCACCACCATGCTCTGGATCTGCACACTGCTCGCCACCATCATGGGCCAGCAGCAGCTGCACTGTCACCACTGTGGCCAACAAGAGAACAGGACCTGCATCCTAGCCACCTCTTCCAGGAGCCCACCAAGCCGAAAACTAAAGTCACTGCCCCCAGCATGAAGGATGAACCACTGCTGAGAAGACCTCCCCATCACCATTACCACCACCCCACCCTGCCCCTGCGTCGCCATCCTTCCTATTGAATACCATGATATGTGGCAGATGTATAAGAAAGCTGGGCTTCCTTTGGCACAGCCAAGGAGGTGGATCTTCCCAAGGTCTTTTAGTACTGGGAAGCCCTGAAGCCCAAGGAGACAATTTTTATATCACATTTGCAAGTAATGGCATAGTAAATGAAAAGTTGGCAGAAGGATCTAGCCAAGAGGTTCAAATTACAGAAGCCCACAATTGCTATCTATGGCTTCCAAATTGCCATGGCAAACATACATTCTGAAAGGTATAGTCTCCTTCCTGACATTTCCATTAAAGATCCCAAAGAAAGAGAATTTCTCTTCAATACCATTGATGCTTTGTATGAAGAAGAAAGCAGCCTGAGCCTTTCATTGGATGGAGAACAGGTGTAACCTTTGCCTCTGTAGGGGGAATCTCTCCTGCTTCTTTTGTATCCATATTCTGTCTCAAGAAACAAGACTGGTGCCTGACCTCACTTTTTCCAATAAACTTATTAGTAGAGGTGAGGATTTACTGGACTTTGACAGCATGATGTTCAAACACCTGCTACACCAACAGTGGGAGCAGAAATAGGGAGATGTAGGTCAAAGGGTACAAAGAAGCAGATGCACAGGCAAAGCAAGGCTAGAGGATGCACATGAGGGCTGCCCTCCAGGATTTCCTATGCACCTAGGGTTTATGCTAAGAAAGAAGATTCCAGGTGATCTTGCCACAATAAAGGGGGGTAACTGTAAGATGATGAATAAGTTAATTGGGGTATCTGTGAGATGATGAATATATTAATTATTTCTACTATAGCAACCTTTTTCTATATCTATATGTATATTAAATACTGTTTTACTCCTTAGATATATCCAATAAGTTTTCAACTTCCAGTTTTGCTAAAGTTGGCCAGAGTTGGTCACCACCAAAAACTGTACCTCATCTAATAGTCTCCCCACCACTGAAATCCATGGCTTAGGTCTTCAAAACACCCCTCTTCTGAATAAGAGTTTTCTTTAATCACTCAATAAAGCAGCAGCTGGGGATGTAGCTCAGTAGCAAAGCACTGGAATAGCAATCATAAGGCCCTGGGTTTTATCCCCAGCAATGAAAAAAGAAAGTAAGGATTTGAAAGTTTAGCCTAGATATTTCCTTATTGTGAATCAGGAACATTTTTCCCCCCTTTGTGGTACTAGGGAAGGAACCCGAGGCCTCTACATGCTAGGCTAGCATCCACCACTGGTTTATAGGTTTTGCAGGACCTGTACATTGGGTGGAGGAAGAGTCCCTCTTTAAGAAAAATACAAAACACCTGTACAGAATTAGTTCAGCCCCACAAACAAAATGGCCAGGGTTTCTCCGAGGACCTCCTGAGGGTCCTGGAAAAAAGGGCCTTGCAGCTTATGCTGCATTCGTTTCTCTGAAAACCCACCTCTTACTGCTCTGTTCTCCAAGTCATTCCTGAAATGCAAATCAGGCATTTAAAAATGTGGATCTGGGCCTGGCTGGCAGAGTGCTTGACTGGTGTGCATGAGGCCCTGGGTTCCATTTCTAGCACTGGAAATAAAAAAGTTAAAATACACAACTGACCTGCTAAGCATCCTCTTAAAATCTTTCATAATCTCCTGTTCTTTGGATAAGAAAAAAAAGTCTTAACTTCTAGGTCCCTACATGTTCTCCTCTCTTCCCCTTCACTTTTTCTGCCCCAGTTACTTTGACCTTTTCCCCCATCACCCAAATAGGCTCTCTCCCACTTCAGAGCCCTCTACCAAGATCATTCCTCCCAATCATCTTTAGCCATCTTTTTTCCCCTTTGTGGTACTAGGGAAGGAACCCGAGGCCTCACACCTGCTAGGCTAGCATCCACCACTGGGCTGCACCCTCAGCCTCCAACCACCTTTTTATCTGTCATATTACAGCTCAAATATCATTTCTTCAGATAAGACCAACGTTTATTTTTTTGTTGATTTTTTTCTTCAAAACTAAAACCACACTTTAAAATTATACATTAATTTTATAAAACAAAGTGAATTCAGGGCTGGGGATGTAGCTTAGTTGGTAGAGTGCTTGCCTCACATGCACAAGGCCCTGGGTTCAATCCCCTGCAACACACACACACACACACACACACACACACACACAAGAATTAAAATGGTAAAATATAAAAGTGAATAAAATAAAATTATGTTTTATGTTATGTGATTATTTAGAATCTGGTTCCTATACTTGATGGTTCCAAGACTAAACTTCTGTTTTCAAAAGCCAGTGAGCTTTGGGGTGTGGGGGTGTCATTTGTTACTGCAGCATAACCTATTCTGTGCTGATTAATACACCACCAGACAAGGTCGAAGTGAAGGAGGCAGTTTAAAAGTGCACATTATAATGGATAAATGGATAAAGAAAATGCTGTGTATACAAAAATTGAGTTTTATTCATCAATAAAGAAGAACAAAACTATGTTATTTGCAGCAAAATGGATGGAATTTGAGAGCATTTGTTATTTTGTTAAACAAAATAAGACAAAATCAGAAAGTCAAGTGTCATATGTTTTCTATCATATGTGGAAGCTAGGGAGGAAAAAGGAAAAGAAAGGTGGGAGGGGAATCTCATGAAAATGGAAGGCAGACCAGTAGAATAAAGGAAAGAGACCAGGGGGAAGAAGGAAGAGAAGGAAAGGGGAAATACTGGGGAATAATATCAACCAAAGTATATTATTATAATGTGCATGTGCCTGTATGACTAGGTAACAACAAATTGCACTATTACATATAATTGTAATGCACCAATAAAAAATATAGAAAAAAAAACATTTTAAATGTACATATCATAATGAATGGCATGTTAAGGGTTCCTAGCAACCACAGAAGAAATTTACAGAATCCATGAGCTAAAAACAAGCCCACTTTCTATGAGTAATTTCTACTTCCTGGCATTCAAATTTTATCCACTACCAAAGAAGCACAGCCATTTACAAGTGCAGCATGGTCATGTCCTGGGCAACAGTTTATTCAGGACTATATGAACCAGGCTGTGAGGGGGATTAAGAAAAGACAAACAGACACAAAAGTAGAGAAAAGGCCAGGACCCAGTGGATCAGCCAAACTCTGGTGGAAGAAAACTGACCACCGCAAGCTTGGCATATTTATTACATAGGTTTAAACATCAGAAGGCATTTTTGTGAGAAATCTTCTTCAAGATAAACAGAGCTGAAGCTGAGGGTAAAAGAAGCCCAATTAGGGCTTATCAAGCTTGTGCCTATACTTCTCTTCCTCTGGGCAGCAGCTGTTTGAACCAACGTTACGAACTAATAAAATTCCTTAGTTAGCAAGGAATTTCACTATGAACACGGCGTTACCATACAACTGGACCATCTCCACTGGCACCTTCACACTAAGAGTTCTCCAGAGGGGTGTTGCCTCTGTCTCTTGGCAGTTCAAAGACCATCATTCATTCACCACTCCCGACACAGCATGAGATGCAAGAAAGACAATGAGATTCCGAGCTTTGGGAACTGATCCACCTGCACTGTGAACACTTGTGTTAT